AGGAGAGGGGCCCAAGAAGGAAGATCTGAGTTCAGCTACAGTGGGTGGAAGATTTCTGTTTGTGAAGTAAGGAGCTAAGAGTTTTCAACAGAGCCAGCACAGTGGGTGGCACAAGCCAGATAATAACTTCAGAAAACCCTCTGTGCTCAGAAGTTTATCAAGATTCTCTTTTATATAACTCATTAACGTAAACTTCCTGGGCCTGTCTTTCAAGGCTCCCATCAGTCTGGCCTCAACTCTCCAGCACATAACAACAACACTTCTCTTTGCACCGTGACTTAACGAGCTTATACGGAATGCCATTCATCCACCCATTCGTGTCAGCCAGCATTGAAGGCACGCACTACACTCTGTTCTAAAAACTTAACCATAGATAAGACATCATCTTTGGCTTTAAGCCCCTAGCCTCTTTTCCTGCAAGTAACGCATGTTTGGGGAGTTGCAAGCCAGTCAACCCTCTCCCATGATAGTCTCCTAGACACATTATATGTATGTGTGTAAGTGTGATCTGTGTGGGCACTTTACATGCAAAAGTATGCTATAGGAAGACATTTTATACACAGGACTCAAGTTGCCTTGCAACAATCATCTGAGTACGGTGGTTGTTAGTAGGGAGTGACATTGAGTAAGTTGGGACTTGCCACAGCTCTTTGTGCCACAGAACAAAAGACTGCTGGATCCTGGACTGTCTGCACAACCCTTGCTGTGCACACCCATTCCCGTAGTCACTGTGACAATTCATCTCATTGAGGGGCTTCCTCTTTTTCACTGTCCTCTACCAAACACGATGCCCTTTTCTAGAGACGTGTGCTTGCTGATAATATGTACAATATATGTAAGCCAAAAATCTCCCCACCGTTCCTTCTAGGGAGTATTCTAGCTGTAGTGGTTGGATCCAATATCCAATATTCTGGCACTTCATAGTAGGTTCAATGTCCTGAGCCAGAACTGTCATACAAAAACATCGATCGTCCTTCAGTCTTCCTTGTTCAGTGTCCAGCTTTCTCACGCATCTGAGATGACTGAGAAGACGACGGCTTGGCTCAGCACACCTGAGGGCTCAAGGTGACCTCTTTTCTTTTGGACATTTTAAAGATGTGCTTTGCAGCAGTTTTTCCCAATGCAAATGGTGTCCATGAGTAAGGTATCCCCCTTGTTTTACAGAGAAAGAAACTAATGTTGAAAGTTGAATAGATTTGCCCAACACCTCACACTTGAGAAGTGAAAGATGATTTCTAGTCTACATGGAATCTAATGGGTCCTAATCCAGATTTTTCGAACATC